CGTCAGTGGCACCAGCATGCATCAGTATACTAGCGACGAGGAGGAGGAGCGTACAGGCTTGGCCCGCTTGCGCTCCAACAAGCGCAACAATCCCACTTGACTTAGGTATAAGTTGGAGTTCCCACAGATTTGATGGCAAAATTGCGGTGCTTGCAGCCATTGTTGGTTCGCCTCTTCCTGACCTCTCAGCGCAGGCATCGCTGCTGCGATATATAAACTTACCGAACGAAACAACTGCAACCAATGTAATTCATAATTTCTTATATATACTAAACAAAACAAACACTGTGAACATCGTGAGATTAATCGCAATTATATTCTACATATTTCCCATCCGCTCATCTCTCTCTCGCCGATAACTGTTTAATCCAAACCCGAACCCAAGCCAAGAGCGCAAAGTATTAGCTCCTATAGTTGATGTTTGTAATCGTAGAATCAAATATATATACAAATATATTTAATCCGTACTGAAAACTAGTTTGCTTCTGCTTATGCCATGAACTATGAATGAACCTTTGGCTTCTCTCGAAGAGGGTTGCAGTCGTAGCCATGGCAACCTCGTTTTGAATAGCAAAACACAGTAAGGTAGTTGAATTGTCAATATGGAGGAACTGAACAAGGCTGGACTTTATATAGACGAAATCTATAGACTGCGAGTGCAAGATCCGGCAATTGCCAATGAGACGATCGAGCTGCGGCAGGAGTGCTTGGAGTACTCAAAAAACTTACAGGATTTCAAAAAACTCTGCGAGGAATTCTATAAAATTGCGTACAACTTCTCAAAAGTTGTGGAGAGCGAGAAACTGCGCGCCATTGGCACACAAAATCAATTGAAGACAATGGCCAAGCAGCGGCAGACCGAGCAGCAGGTGTACCAAAGCCAGATCCTGGAGCAAACTGTCGAGCTGGAGCGTCTGAAGAGCGAGTATCAGTACTTGCAGCGCATAGAGTCGGAGCAGCAGGAAATTATAAACAACTTCTTGATGAATCAATAAAATATACCTTCTTAATAATACTATAATTAGACAACAGCTAAATTCTTCTTATAACAGGCTAAACTACACAGCGGAGTATTCGTCTTGGAGCAATTGTAGACTTTGCGTTTGCCACAGCCTGAGACGCCGCAGAGTTTAGCTGGCGGTGGCTTAATTGCGGTCTGGGCTTGAATTGGAAACTCCTGGCCTGGTGGCACTATGATGTAGGCTCCATCTAGGGTATTCATGTAGGTAAGCAATGGCGTTGTCTGCTTTTGGTTTTGCAGTTTGCGTGCTGCTGAGCGCTGTTTGCCATTTTCCTGTTTCTTCAGCAGACGCTCCATCGTCTTCTGCTTGTCCTTCTCACGACGCTCGTCAGCCTGTTGCTTGCGTTTCTGTGACTTCAGCGCTGCCTTTTGTATCTCTTCGGCCGTCTGTGGCTTCTCCTTCTCCCTATATCCACTTGGCAAGGCAATGAGCTCTTCAACAAAGCCCGCTAGTGCCGGCTCGGTGTCCTGCGTCCGTTCATACATGGCACGCTGACGCGCTGTCATCAGCTTGGGATCCTTTATCTTTTTCAACTCGTCATCGACGTCTTCCAGTTTGCCAGTTTCGATGGCATTCAGCCAACGTTCTTCATCACTAGACGTATCACTGTTGCGACGTTTCCTCGGCTTCTTTGTGGAACTGGTTGGAGGCGTAGCGTTGCCGGGCAAGGATTTCGTGCTGGTAGCAGGTCGCGAACGTTGGCTGCCCACTTCATTAGTCTTGCTATTGTTTGCCGATGCAGTTGACACTGTAGGCTTGGCAGTTGTTGGTGCGACTGTCTGAGGTGTTACCGCCTCAGCTGGCTCGGAAACGGAGTTAGCCGGAGTCGGCGATGATGGGGACTCGGAAGGCGACGCAAACCTAGCTGGTTTTTGTCGTTTGCTACGCTTCGAGCGACGATCTTAAATAATGAAAATTGTTAATATATTTAGTAGTTTTATACTTGAATTACACACCTTCTAATTTTCCCATAGTTACACTTTTTATTTATTATAAAACGATTTTATTTACAAGCTAATTTTATATTGCGTATTTTTGTTTATAGTGACAACGCGGTCACACTTTGATAGTGCTGCCACCCTGTTAATATAAATTGCTGCTTTTCTATCTTAAAAAAAATTTTTAATATCTTTTCTTTTTCAGTTTATTTAGTATTTTAAAATTTATTTAATATAATTATAATAATAAGAAGATAAAATACAAATATTTTGCATGTTGAACAGTCTCTCATTTTACTAAATTTCTGAAGCGTATCGATGAATACTGCTTTCGATAGTACTTCGGGATATCGATATTGCAAATACCGCGTCGTTCAAATGCATATAACAGTTACAAGCTTTTCTGGTTTATATCTGTGCCATCCTCCCAGTAATTCTTTCGCATAAATCATTCTTATGTTGCCATATTATTTGTAAATAAATTTAAATTTAAATTTAATTACAATTTTATTATTTAATGTTAACGGATTGAAGCGCATTTAAGCACAAAGGTAGAATTTTGTTAATATCTATAATGATAAATAACAATACTTAAAGGTCTAATGCACTTAGTTGCTACTTATGAGAGTATATAAAGTCTGGCTACCATGAAGTGCTGGGAGTTATGGGTGGTATATGGTTACCGCAACGAGGAAAGTTCGGAGGCACTGGCGGTAAGTCCTTTGGAGTCCCAATTTGAAAGACCAAATTCATGCCAATTACGATGTGATATTGAAAGTGACAGTGGAACAGCCAGAACCCGGGATTGTCAGCTCGAAATCGCAGAACCGTATAACCGTTATTGGGAACAGCCACTGTATCCTTGAGAGCCGGCTTTATGTACTGTCGCTCCAGCATGCCGCGCTGATCCAGATCTAGGGCGTGCTTCAGATTCATTCGTTTGATTTGCGAATCCGGCGATCGGCCCATGCCAAGTACGTAAAACGAAGTGCCATGCAAATGGAACGGATGACTGATGTTGATCTGTTGCACCTCATCCACCAGCACCACCTCGACAATCGCATTCAGTGGTATATCAATCTTATGAGTGCACTGACAATTCTCCCCACAATTGGCGGGTCTATTGTCTCCATTGCAGTAGTAGTCCTCGGGAATGTCCTGGTACTGCGACAGCATGGGCGAAGGTGGCGATACGTACGACACCTCGTCGATCAGCGATATCAAATGATCCGCATCCGATGCGACTATATTGTAGAACGAGAAGGGTTAGTGCATTTGACTATGAGGCTCAGCTGCTAGCTAGCTAAACGATGCGAGCTGTGGTCTACAAACAGTTTGTCACATCGAGCATTACACAACATTTACTCTCTTAGGCTATAACATATAGATATAAACATATAATAAACTCAAACATAGATCTAGTATGGTTATCACCCCACATTAATAATCGTTTTATAACGTATTTAGTCTACAAGTTAAGTTAAAGCGAGTGGTTAATAAATAAATTCAAAAGTATCCGCTGTGGTTGCAGTTGGCGAACCACTAACTGTTGGCTGTCGGCTGGGTTAGCTAGTACCAGGTAACGGGTGGTACGTGATCACCGCAACGGGGAAATCGCGGCGGCACTGGCGGCAGGTCTGCTTGTGTGCCGATGTGAAAGACCAAATTCATGCCGATGACGATGTGGAATAGGAAGTGACAATGGAATAGCCAATAGCCAGGATTGTCGGCCCGAAATCGCATCACCACGTAGCCGTTGTTGGGCACAGCGATGGTGTCCTTGAGCGGCGGCTTGGAGAAGTCGCGCTCCAGCATGCCCATGCGATCCAGCTCCAGGGCATGCTTCAAGTTGATCTTCTTGATCGACTTATCCGGCGAGCGACCCAGGCCAACCACATAGAATGCCGTGCCATGCAAATGGAATGGATGACTTATGTTCGCTTGCTGCACCTCATCCACCAGGACGACCTCCACAATGGCGCCCAGCGGTATGTCCACCATGTGCGTGCACTCGCAGTTGGGTCCACAGTTGGGCGGCCGATTGTCGCCGTTGCAGAAGTACTCGGGCGGTATATCTTCGATTTGGGACAGAGGCGGCGACGGTGGTGATATGTAGGAGATTTCGTCGACCAGAGAGGTTAGATGGTCACCGCTAGGCACAACTGTGTGTGTGTTGATAGCGATCAGGTTGTTCGACCCATTTGGAAGCATTTGTTAAGGTTTAAGTACACGAGCGTAAACAGATATGAGAAGGTAGTATATGTAAGTCAATGTTAGGCGAAAAGCAAAGCTGTGTGGGTTCAGGTTAATGGAGACACGCTGAGGAGCCCATCGGGCCAGTGAGTACGTACCCAGAAATCGATTGTACGTATTTGGTATGAATAACGTTTTCGGATCGTACACATAAAATCTGAAAGGTAAAAAGATTTTCACATCGGGTCGCTCAACCAAAACGCTCTTATCGACTTTTTTCGCATTCTTCAAGTTCGAAACGCAAATCGCATCGACGCGCTTACGATCACAGATCGCATCCAGCGGGTTTAAGATCTGGGAATAAATTCAATTTATAGAAGAAGTCGGATTAGATCAACGTTTTTCTAATAATTTCCTCATGCTGTGCATATTGCAGTAGCTGTGCTTCGTTGTAGCTGAAAGAAATTTCAATATGAATGATATAATATAAATATAAATTGATCATTTTTATATATTATACAATTCAAAATTTTATATGTATATATTAAAAGTGCTCTAGTCGCAACGCAACGACTAGCAAATACCCTGTACCCAGTTGGAAACGTTACAAATTTTGTGTATATACAATAAAATTGGTTATATATCAAGTGTTATGGTATATATATATATATGGTAGACAGTTATACAGTAACATACAGATATTTCAGTGGACAGACAAGTGGAACCACACTTTCAATTGTTCCTAACTATATATTTCATTTATCAATTTCAACTGGGTACAAGATCTCTATTTATATATATAGAGTACAAGATTATAATACTTGTATTGTCAAATGAAATTGTGTAATTATTTAAAATTTTTCATATTTTATTAAAATTGATTTAAACAATAAATATAAATTTAACGGCAGTTAATTGGGCGTTTTGTTCCCCGTGTATCGTACAAAAATTAAAAAAAAACATCTCTCTAGATTTGCCAGTTTATACAAATACATAAAATGGGGAAATTTACAAGATTTACTTTAACAGTTATCAATTACAAATGCAGATTGATTGAACAGAATTTGCAGCTATTAAATATGACTGTGACAAGCCAATCAGAGTATATTTTCATTAAATAGACCCTAGGCATTACATAAGTAGATAGTTTAAGCATAATATATATATATATAGATTCGATTTTTTTTTTCGTTTTCTTCTTTACAAACATTTTATGTACATTAAAAGTTATTATTTATAGTTGTTTTTGTTGTTGTCGTTTTTACATGTATTTTGCAATTTACACAAAGTCAAAATTCAACTGAAATCGTAGTTCAAATTTTGGAGCTTTGCGCAAAATGCTTTGTAGGCACCAGCGTGTGATTTATTGGTCCTATATACATAAGTTTAAATATACATACATGAATTGAGTACATACATACATACGCATATATATAAAGAGCACATACATATACATACACACACTACAGTTGCGGATCTAATCCGGAATTAGGCTTAAAATTTTGCTGAAATTGCTTTGCTGTGAATATTTTTATGGCTGCTCCAAACTTCAATTGATTTTTTACATTCAATCTCAGTGCACCGTCTTGCTGCAGTACATCTGTGTGTACTACATAAGTGTGTGTGTGTGTGTGCGTGTGTGTGTGATTTGGGCATGGGGCAAGGTCAGGGGGCAATCTGTTGCTTGATGCAATTTTTCTCGTTGGTTCTTTTAGGGGCTGGGTGCACCCGGCGGCAAGCTGTTGCGGAAGTCAGGTAATATCATACAGGTGGTACAGGTGATACATTGTATATGTACATACATAACATATATCATTGTTATCCAGGTGTCGGGGCTATATATATTACAACAAATACATACATACATAATCGTTGTGCTGTCTCTTTTCAAAAAAGAAAGAACTTTGTACAAACTGTTTCGTTCAGTGTAGTTGGGTCTTCTTCGCTTTCAGTTTCTTGTTGTTTTAGTTTTTTGTTTGTTTGTTTGTTTTTTGTGCGGATTTCTCTAGTTAGCGCCAACAGAACTAAGGCCTAGGCTTAATTAATGGGTATGGGTGGAGTGTGGTCGCCACACGTGGGGAAGCCAGGTGGCACAGGTGGCAGATCGGCATTGGTGCCAACCTGCAGTATCAGATTCATGCCGATAACAATATGGAACAGGAAGTGACAATGGAAGAGCCAGAAACCTAAACGGAAACCAAATTAAAGATCAAAGTTAATCTCTGTTATAGACATATAGGAATTATATGCTGGTAATACCAGGATTATCGGCTCTGAAACGCAGCACTACGTAGCCATTGTTGGGCACTGCAATGGTATCCTTGGTGGGTGGCAAATTGTACTGCCTGTGCAGCAGTCCACGTCTGTCCAGATCCAGTGCGTGCTTTAAGTTGATCTTCTTGACCGTGGAGTCGGGCGAACGGCCAATGCCAATGACACTGAAGCCATAACCATGCAAATGGAATGGATGGGACAGATTGGGTTGTTGTACTGCAATTGGATAAGAATAATGAACAACAATTTATATATTGATTCTCTGGGTAATCCCAAAAGCTAACCCTCATCCACAAGCACCACCTCGACAATGGCATTCAGTGGTATATCGATCTTGTGGGTGCACATGCAGTTGGGTCCGCAGTCGGCGGGACGGTTGTCGCCATTGCAGAACTGTTCCGGATTAATTTCATCATACTGCGAGGTCAGTGGAGCGGGCGCTGAGAGATAGGAGATCTCGTCGATCAGCGAAATAACATGATCACCCGTGGGAGCCACTGAAAAGAGAGAGGGAGACAGCGTTAGTAAAAGATATAAAAGATGAAATTATTCCTTGACTCACCCAAGAATCTGTTGTAGGTGTTCGGCTGGAAGAGATCTTCGGCGCGATAGACAAAGAAACGGAATGGCAGGAAAATCTTCACGTCCGGTTTCTCAGCCAAGATTCCGCGGTCGATTTCGAGTGCGTTTTTCAATTGACTCACGCAGATGGCGTCGTTGCGTTGACGATTACATTGCGCGTCCAGGGGGTTCATGACCTTTTGTTTTGATTGTCATTGTTTTTGTTTTTGTTTTTTTTTTATAGTTAAATGTCAGTCGTCGGATTTGCAAAGGGTTTATTGATTGGTGTTCAGTTTAATAAATATATATATACAGGTGCAGGAGAACCACATTCGAGTTTGCATGAGTGGTGGTATTTTACATAGTGTGGGGGAGTTGTTGCACAAAGGATTTTGAAAGAGATATAGAGAAATTGATTAAACTATGCAAATCATGTGTCTCAGCTGCATTTTGGGCACATTTCAGATATTTACAATTATTTACTGTTTACTATTTACAATTGGTATAAAATTGTTAGCATTATAGTTCATATAATACAATGTACTTACATTGATAGATCGTATGCTATATATATGTGATTTAGCTCAGACAAGTGGGCTCTACTCACATTTACGATTTATGGCACATTCAGAAGAAGAAAAACTCTATTTGTATTTTGTAATGTTTAAACTGCTCTATAATACTACTAATTTTAATGGCTAATTTAAAAGTTAAGCAAATTCATTTCTAATTAAGATATTTAGGATTATTTCATATAAAAAGAATGCAAATGAGACTCCTGTCATATTTTTATAGAAATTCTTAAGAAACACAACTAATTTCTTCTTCTATTTAGTTTCAATGAAACAAAAAATTAGAGCTATCATAATTTGTTCCTATATAAATGAAATCTTTATATTGAATAGTAACTAGCTTTTAGGATTTCATATCTATGCTAAAATACCTAGGTAAAATATTGTATAATAATATATTGATAATTTTTTTATGATATAATATGAGGTTTATAGAAGAAAATTTTAAGGTTATGCTTTATATAGTAGACAATGTATTATTTGAAGATTTTCCATCTCTTTGTTCTGTAGTTGATGAGATCAATTTGAAATGGCATATGAACTAACGGAACTTGACTAGATGGACTAAAGTTTTTATTGATTCCTAACCAGTCTGCTACACTTCCTTATGTCTACATTTAAATATACTCATTTTAAACTTCCATTTTAACAACTAAAACCCTAAAACTCAAACTCAAGGCATGAAACCTGCAAAGACGTTGCGAGTTACGTAGCTCTGCTCTTTTGTTGTTTCTGTGCAAAATCGAAAAATGCATTGACTTGGGAGGCTTTTGGAACTTACCACACCCTGTGGAATGCCCACATCGTAGGTGGGTGGCGGCGAGGCAGGCTGGTAGGGGCCTCGGGCATAGCGCAGGATGCCCAATTGCTGGGCTCGTCGTATGCCACACTCACCAAGACCGCGCAGCTGTATCCAATAGGCGCCCACAGGCTGATCGGCAGTGATGATGAAATCATAACGTTCGCCTATATGGAATGATATACATGTATGTAGTTCATCAAAGTAAACACCCGCTTGAGCAGAACTCACCTGAGAAGGAGATGATCGTGTTGACATTGACCGGATGCACTGGCTCGCCGTCTGTGGCAATCACCTGCATATTGTGGCCCTCGATGGTCACCTGGGCCGGGCACACCGAGGCGAAGGCGTTGATCATGCGGAACCGATAGCGGCGACCGGGCGTAATCGTGAATATCTCAAGAGGCGTATTAGTCATGAAGCCCGTATTCGGATCACGGAACTGTCCCTTGCCGTTGATCAACATGGACTCGGGATCCTGGCCGGTGTTGACAGCCAGACGTCCCGGATAACGCTCAGCGGCATCTTCGTGCAGCCAATCGCTGATGAGCATGATGTGTGTGGTCAAGTCGAAGTCGTACAGATGCGAGTTGGGATCACGCGACGGCGGCTGTCGCACTATGACGCTGCCGTAGAGGCCATCCAGTTTCTGCAGGCCGGTGTGGGCGTGCCAGAAGTGGGTGCCCGCATTACCTGTCCACTGATAGCGGAACGTGTTGCCCTGCTGAATGGGGCACTGGGTGACGAAGGGCACGCCGTCGTAGTACTGCGAGCCACGCTGCCAGATTCCATGCCAGTGAATGGTCACCTCCATGCCCTCCATGTGGTTCTCCACGTCGATGACGACCTTATCGTTCTCACACACCTGTATACTGGGACCGGGTATCATTCGATTCGCCGTCAAGATGCCGCGCTCAACGCCATCGGCCAAAACGCACTGACAGTGACTCCAAACGGTATTCGTTGCATTCGGCGTGCACACCTGGCAGGCACTGTAAGTAATACATGATTAGCGTTTATATAATATTTATAAATTCATATGTATTTAATTGAAAATTTCTTTTAAGTCTTTCCTCTAAGTATTTCTTCTAAGTATTTCTTCGAAGTATTTCCTGAAACTATTTCTTCTAAGTATTTCCTCTATGAATTTCTTCTAAGTATTTCCTCTGAGTATTTCTTCTAAGTATTTCCTCCAAGTATTTCCTCCAAGTCTTTAATACTTAGCTGTATGATCACACACTTCACTTTTCTGTACTGTACAATTGACCCCCACCAGGCCTGGGCGACTAAAGAAATGCTGCAGCTGCTGCCCTTTATATAGGACTGTTTTCACCCACACACTAAGACGCCCTCAAATGTAGAGCCCGACGTCAGCTTTAACTGACCAATGGGCTATAAGCATTCTAACTTCGTTTTACTCTAATATAAATACGACAACTCGAATGATCTTCGGTAGTTTTTGTTCGTCCCTTGCTCTTGTTAGGTAGACAGAGAGACAGACAGAGACAGGCAGAAAGGGGGGGAGAGAGAGAGAGAGAGAGTGAGTGAGAGAGAGAGTGAGAAAGAGAGCGTGAGAGAGAGTGAGAGGGGGAGAGATATGCAGACAGCCATATGAACAGATATATAAGTATAGACAACAGTTTCTTATGTTCTATAACTCTCTTAAGGACTTGGACCTTCTCGTAGTCATGCATATCATACTCCAGCTATACATATATATTTTCTTCATGTATACCTATGCCAAAAATGAAAATTAACTCCGTTTCAGGGCATTTTCTAGTCATGCATATCCTACTCAGCTCTTGCTTAGTTTTTGCGAAATGCAAAGAGAGGCTGGCGGGGTTGTCGAACTGCTGACAACTGTGTTTGCTCTAGGCTGGCACTACGGCTTGTGGTTTTCAAGCCGAGGCACTAGGGCAACTGTCTGAGATCCGTAACCGGAGCTACTGCCGCAGTTGTCTCTGCTGCTGCTGCTGCTGCTGTTTGTTTACACTTTGCACTCCCTGCATATCGTTCAGCGTGTCAGCGCCGCTGTGTTCGGCTCTTTGTCTACAATATTATGGCAATGCAGCCAACAGCTTATGGCGTGGGAATTAAGTATTATGTATGTCTATTTCTATGTCTATGTCTATGCACCTATCACGCGCTCCGATGCTGTGACAGCTTAGAGGTTTTTTTCCTCAGATTTGTTTGCCTTATATTATGAAGTCGCTTTTTCCTGGTGCTTTAATTCAAGCTGAATTTGTATAGAAATATGCATTTTAATTGTGTGTTGTGTGTGAGTGTGTGTGTGTTGCCTTAACCTGAACTTCCATGAATTGTTATTCGCTGGCTTTGCAGAGGTCTAACTTAATTTTTTATTGGGATCGCATATATGTATAGGTAGAGAGACACCTACTCCTACGGACATTGGCTGTTATGGCTTTTCTCTCTCTTTTTTTTTTTTTTTTTGTGTGAAGCCTTGATTGGATTTCTGGTTTATGGTCCGTCAGGTGATCGTCAGACTTTCAAATTTAGTTATATGTATGTATCTCAGACAGATCTCACATTACGGGTTTAGCGTTCAATACTTTGCTTATGTAAGGACTTACGCTCCCAGCACCGTGTAGTACTCCAGCGTAAAGTGGTAGTAGCAAATCCTTGGTGGTTCGCCTTCGCGACACGCACGCGCACACTCATCGGGCGCGGACAGGGCGGGATTGCGACGCAGCTCGGCTGTGGCGCTGGTAGAGAAATCCAGATGACGGAATGGCGACTTGGGATTGGGCTCAACGACAGTGCCCGAAATCTTGGGCGGATAACGCGCCGAGGTGGGCAAACTGCCGCGCGAGTTGAGATAACCGCTGCCAGCCGTCAGAGCCGGATTGCTGGCGGGTACGCCGCTGCCCAACGTATTGCTGCTGAGGGGCACCGGACGGGAGGCGGGTATGCCGCCGGCCAGCGAGGGGTGCGTCTGCACAAGGCCATGCGTTGCCGAGAAGAAGGGCGAGTCGAAGGGCGTCGAGCTGCTGGGCGTGACCACGTGCTGTTGCCAGTAGGAGCCCGCCGATGTTTGATCCGGTTGTTTGTCTGCAAACAAAGAAACGAAATAAATGAAGTGAAAACCAGCTAACAATAACAACAATAGCAGCAAGTAAATTTGTTAATAAATATTTTTTTGTTCAATTGTGAACTTGGAGTTTTTCAATTAATTAAAACAAAAACAACAAAACCAACAAAAAACAACAAAAAATTGACGTGGCCGCTGTACTTCATAAAAAATCGTGCCCAGCTAAGTTTTAAATTAAGTGCAAATTGGCTACAGTTGCTGTATCTCTAACTGTATCTGTATCAGCTATATGTATGTATGTATGTATCTGTGTATGTTTGTGTGTGTGTCTGTCGGTTTATGCAATCGCCAGAGTTCAATCAGCTCCAACGATGACGCAATGCGCCGTTTGCAGTAACTAATTAAGTGCAAAACTCTAGTATTTGCTTTTTGGCTAGAAACAAAAAAAAAAAAAAAGCTAAAGCTAAAATCGCTTAAGATATTAATTTTTATTGGCATTTGCTTTACGACTAATATATCATATCGCATAGCTACGATATACGATCTTACGCATGCGCAACTTCAAACGCAACCAATCTATATATATGAACCGCTAATTTGTGAAGATATATATATATATATATAAGTATGGTATATCTATGTCTATATCAACGTATTTCACACACGTTTGCCATTGCGTGTGCAATTAGCCAAGTTTATTGCTAAGTTTCTTGCCAAAGAGGAGAAATTCGTATGCAACTTTACTTTGTATGCCTGAAAACTTCCAATTCCATAGGCTTTTGTTGCAGTTCTCAAAAACAAAATAGAGCTGCACACACCCATAAATATCAACACTCTCGTAGAGACACATTCAATATCGTATAAATGCAATTTACACTTCAAGTGAAACAAATGATTGAGGTCACGAACTTTATTCAGAATGCAAATACGAATGCGAATGCGAATAACTTTGTACGTGAACTGCATTTTCAGTCGTAAATCAATTGCTTGAGAGTAATTACTCAGAGAATTCCCATATGCTTCCCAGACAATTTCATACTTTCCCAAGAAATCAATAGGAAGTTCAATGCAGTGGGGTGCAACTGACTGCGCGATGCTCGTTGATGGCTGAAGAACAGCTAAATTTATTGAAAATAACTGTCTAGAAATTCTATAAAAGCCAATATACTCTTTTCACATCACGAACGAACATGGAAACGAACTATGAGCACAGTCTGTATACATAATCATAACGATTGATAGCAATAATATGGTATACAAGGTCAATAAGCATTATAATATCCTAAGTTAGGATCTGAAATCTCAGCATGTGCCTTACTCACTCACAGCGAGCATTAGAAATAAATGTATTATAAGCATGTGTGTGTGTGTATGTATTTAGTCATTTAGTTAAACAAAAGCTACAATTTAGAGGCATTGATCCATTTAAAGAGATAAATTGCTTTCAATTTGTCCCACGATTTTTGTTGAAGTTGACCATTTGCTGGCCATTTGCAGTTGTCAACTCGCTGATTTCTGATTGTCTCTGGCCATTTGGAGACATGAGTTTATTGTTCTTTTCGTGATTGTATAAATAGACTCTACGTATAATATTTATGAAGTCATATGCAGTTAGAAGTGTGCTTGGCTAGAAATGGTCTTTCTGCATTATGGAATTTTCAATCTACATTCAATTTTCTCATACAAAATATCTTCGACTTTTATGGCCAGGCGACATTTGTTTCGGTCTTATAAAAGAAACCGCAATAATTGGACTGAGATTTTTAAATTCCCAATTGGATATCTACAGAGAATGGAAGCAAAATTATTGCTAAATTTGTATTGAAAAAAAAAGAAAAACAATAACAAAATTCGCCAGAGCTGTGAATTAGCATTAGCATAGAACTTTGGTGCCGAAATGGTGTGAAATTTTTATAAATGCAAGGTCACCTCGCCTTCCAAACTTTATGCTCTTAATGACTTTTCCGGCCCCGAAAACCACTTGTGGCAAGAACTCGAAGCCCCAGTCGCTTGGCATTGGCCAAATGTAGCAAAATGTCTATATGTAACCAGCCAACGTGGGTGTGTGTAAACAATTATTGTATGGCCTACATAAAGTCGGCAAATATATACGATATATACACACATCTAAAAACTGTGCAGCTATACTTTTTTTTTTGCATCTATTAATAGTAGTTATTTTTATTGCTATTATTAAAACTATTTTTAACTATTGTTGATCTTTTTTGTTAACAATATTATTAATGGAAATTATTACTAACAACCTATTGTTATTTATTATTATAAATTTTTATTCATTGGGTTACTATTATTATTATCAATAATAATGATCATGATTAAAATGAAAATAATACCAATATAAATAAATCCTCTTTGAAATAATACAATATATTAAAAATAAAAATATTATTAATATAAGATATATACATAAATATTTGTAAAAAAAAATATTATTATTTATCTTAATTTTTATTAATTTTTTTTCATGATCATTGTCATTGTCATTATCATTGCAATCTATTATTAATTTTATATACTGAGCAATCAACCTTTTATATTGGATACCTCTTAAAGCCCTCGGCTAAACTCTATAGTATACAACATTCATTCATACTTTGCCCCGTAACGCGAACCCGGATTATGATTATTCATTAGCCTTTACACACATATGTACATATATACAGCTATTGCTCGAATAATTAATTCATGTCGAGTTGCTGATCTCTTATTTGTAATTTACTTTTAACTGAACTGAGCAAAAAACTTTACCTTATGCTGCTACTCGATTATATGTGGCTAAATTGGCTGCAGGTGTAAGTATTACAGTTTTTCTTTGATATACCGAAGGCTGTGTGGTTTTTTTCCTGTTATGGGTCAATCGAATTGAATTCTTTTGTATTGTGTGGAATTCGGATTTGGTTTTGAATCTGTTGCAGCGTCGCTAGGCAACCTTGAATAGAGCTACGATTGTTGTTGGCAACACCCAGGTAATCGTTCATTTTATGATTATGTAAATTACCACCATGAAAATTACCTTTAACAGCTGCTCTATCACGCTAGTTAAAGACACACAGATATACCGATATATATGTATACGTATAGAACGGTTATAAGTTCATATTACAGTAGCTTTGGTTCTTGTATATTTCTTAATCTCAGCTGGGCATAAAAAAAGGGAAAGCAATCTGAACGTGGGCGATTGGTAAGGTGATACCTTGTAGGTAGCATTGTAGGTTTTATAGACTACAGTTAAATCTTCTAGTTATACCAACATAATCATCATCTCAAAATTAGACTACATAAATACATACAAATTGCATCAATGGGGCTGCTTGAAAATCGAACTGTTATACAAGAGTTCACAGCTCTATGGTTAAATGTAATTAATAAGTAAAACGTTTCACACTTTGCTGATAACTTTTCCTTTTCTTTTTTTTTTTAAGTATTTAATTACACGTCATTAATACACTTCACCTGTCTTCTCGTAGGCTCTGGCCCGTGGCAAAAACACTGAGCTGTATAACAGTTATATGCATTTTCCAGCCAGCTAACTGTATTTCATTTTTCGACTAGCTCTCCACGAGACCACAACTTGAAATTTACGAGTATTTGCTGAGGTTAGTAAGTCCATAAATATGTTAATATGTTTGCTTCTGTAACATTTCACTTTGCAGCTGGGAGAGTGGTGCAAAAGCATTTGCAAAAAAGCGAAATGAAAAACAAACAAAAAATCAACTACAAACAAACATGCAAGCATATGTTTATAAGCATACATGTATGTATGCATGTGTGGGTATGTGTGTAAGGGCATAATGATCAAAAGCACAGCCAAGTGACCGCTCGTCGCCATATTGTTGTTGGTGGCATTAACAAACTCTATTTATGCATTTGTATTATACTGGCAAACTGCCTGAAATTGATTAACGTTTTGCTGTTGCAGCTGGCTGCTTTAGAGCTGCTAGTTGTCATCAGGTGGGCAACAAAATAGCGCAGCGCCGTGCAGAAACGGCTATAGAAACAAGCTGACAGCATTTGCACATACATACATAAATATGTTTTTGCATGGGCCTGTGTGTGTGTGTGTGTGTCTGTTTACACATGTATGCATACATACATACATACATACATGAGTATGCTTGCGCGAGTGCACGCGTTGGCAATCAGATTTAGTCACTCGCGCCATTGCGGCTGGAACTGATTTTGCTTCACTTTCACAATGAGACCGAAAACTCAACTGTTGGATAATTAGCGACACTAAAACAGCGTGTGCGCTCAGGCAATGGAGCAATAAATTAATTAGCTCAACACCGGCTTCGCGCAATTACACAAAATGACAGCAAAATCTATGCTAGGCAACAACTATGGAAGTGCTTTGAAACTGGAAGGCAACTTATGGGAAATCGCAAGAGAGTAGCCAGATTCCAGATTGACTCTTTTTCTTAGACTCAAAATTAGCCTTAGAATATACATACATACTTATACGAATGTATTAGTGCGTGTATGCACAAGACTGCTTAACCATGTGTGTGTGTAAATTTGTATATGCAAGAGAAACTTGCAATTTCGTTGACAGAGACAGAGACAAAGAGAGAGCGTGTACGAATCTAACGGGATCTGCTTAAAAGAGACATGCAAGCAAATTGACTGTAGTTGTGAGTGACACAAAAATTGCATTTAGTGTGTCAAGTGTGGACAGAGCAATTATAAAAAAATAAACAAAAATACGAATTAAAATAATTGAAGATTTAAAGCAAATATAGACGTTTTAAAATATAAATACTGCAATTTTTAATAAGCTTTTTGAGCTCTAATGTGATTAGATAAAAACAATAATTTATTTTGTTAAGCGTTGTCTCATTGCCATTTGACTTTTAAATTGAGTTAAAACTCACTCATACTCATTTCATTTTCATTTTCATATGCAGCAATGGAGAATGTTGGCAGAGCATATCTCAACGCGCTGGCCCGCCCCTGGCTGAGCTGCTCCAATGGCTCAGTGCCTTACTTTTAAATACTTTTC